CCCGGCAGGTCCGGTCCACACGCCACACTTAGCGAAGTTCCTAGGGAACATCTACGCGGTCAAACTAAGGCGAAATTTCTGTTCAAATTAGGAGATGGTTTATGGAGATTGTTCCTTCACAGCGCGCGGAGTTCAACAAGGCTGCAATCTGGGAGGGTTCGGCTTCTGTGCAGGACTTCTTGACATCATGAAAATATCAGCAACAAGCCACCAGTAGATCGGCCACTCACACGCCACACATAACGAAGTACTTCGGGAACATCTAAGCTCGAACTAAGGCGAAAATTCTGTTCCAAATGGAAGATGGTTCGAGATTGCTCTGTCACACCGCGGAGTTGAATAAGGCAATGTGCGTGTGTGCTTTCTTAATTAGCATCGACCGCGCTAAATCTACTGACCAATGAAAAGACGTCAGTTTTGGAGCGAGAAAAACGAACACTTTCTAAGCAAGGTGTGTGTGATACGTTAATTGGCATCGACCGCGCGAACCGGCTGACCAATGAAAAACCGTCAGTGTTACAGCGCGATAACAAAAAACACGAGCGCGTGTGTGTGTTGCCTGTGTTCGAGCCCGTGCGTAGACTATTCAAATGGTAGCATACTCGACACGGACATAACGCCGCCTCGCCGTCGTATCTCTTTAGCATCACAAAGAAGGCAGGTGCCCGCTGGTACTTAGATTCCGCGTTGAACAGCTGGGTCGTCGTGAGTTGGATATGTCAGGAGGACGAGTGGCGTCATGGAACATTGTAGGAAGAAACACTTGCTGTCTAGATGTGGCGAACCTAAGATATCTGAGCACACACATCGAATAGACTGTTTTTACCCTTTCGTAACTCTTCTGCCATTGTCCCACAGTAGCATCACCCACCTGTTTGGCACTCAAGAGAAAAGATTCGCTACCAGGCTATAAGGGCGTATATTAATGAAGTGCCGAAAATCAAAATCGAAAAAATCAAAATCAAAATCGAGATCTGATTGGTCGAATATCTGCTACCTCCTGACGACGCCCTTTGATTTTTGAGAAGTTCCTCTGTCTGGGAAGAAGTCCCCGGGGGACTTTTTTTATCGAAATCAAAATCAAAAAGGAAAGGAGCTCAAGACTTCGAAGGCTTGGAGCACCTGCCACGAGGCCGCTGCAAAGCAAGTGTACGACACGACCTGCTGCACACTACTTATAGAGGGGCTATCGGCACCCTACCACCGACAACATGGCCATTATTTGTAGCCAGAAGACTCTGCTCGCCGGCAAGCCACAAGACGGGCCGGCTCGTTGGGTACTCGAGGAGAAAATGCCGATCGTGACAAGCGGTGAACGGACTGACGATCAGAACAGGGCTGCGCGGCTTTTTCGGGCTGTTCCGTGCGGGAGAGGGTAGTTGCAACCTTTTTTCTCCACTCTCACGATACCCCAAGGCATCTAACCTTGTACGAGACAGATGGTGGGTAAAGCTACCTCCCGTCGCGTGGCATTGCTAATGCTGTTGCTTCCTCCTTCGAAGAGTTATCGCTGAAAAACTAAACTGTGAGCAGACATTCGGCGCGAACTTGAACTATCCGCTCTCTGACGTGGTTTTTTTAGGGTCAACCAAAACTTTTTTCCCTACACGCACGATACCCCACGGTAGCAGACCTTGGGCTCGAAAGATGGAGCAGAGACGTACCTCCTGCCGCGTGGCGTTGCTGTTGCTGTTGCTTCCTTCTTCGGGAAGTTATTGGTGGATATCACAACCCGTGGCGGCCCAAAACACCCAACTTGAAGTGACCGCTCGCAACCGTTGGCATTTTTGCTTCAACACAACCTTTTTTTTCCGGCGCATTCGGCACCTCACGGCCCCAAACCTTGGCATTGCCCAACAGCCCATGTTTCCAGCTCCTTCCGGATACCTTTCTTGAGGCAACTTGTTGAGTATTTGGCGAGATATCGGCTAACACGTGAACAGAAGAGCGTAAAACGCACCCTAGAAAAATCACCGCTGTGCTGCTGGCTCTTCCCCTGGCGCCAGGTCTTTTTGATTTTTGCCTCATCTGTCTCCTATCCTCGTTAACCTACACGACCCTCTTTCTTCAGTTTTCCACGATAACGCATTTTGATTTTGATTTTGCGCCCATTTGGATTTTGATTTTCGGCACTTCGTTAATATACGCCCTAATAGTCTTTGAAGCCCGCATACAAAGCATACATAGGTCAGATCTCTACAGATCGAGCAAGCTTTTGACGGGTATGTCCCTTGTAATCGGTAGGACATGGTACCTTATCTGGATACACGTTTGCAGGACATTGCTGAAGGGATCTGTGTATGTATGTATGTGGTATGTTGCACCCACAGTATGGCGATCTGTAAGACATAGGTGGGCTAGCTCATGATCTGTCCAATGTGTGAAATTAGCTTGCGTGATTGCACAGACTCTGTAGTGTAGTCTTATGGTGCAGCCAGTAGAGACGGTGAAGGGGAAAGAATGATATCATCCGAATCTACATCTGTACACTGCTGTTTGCCTTGAGAGAAAACGCGAAGGAAGACGAAAAAGCTTGGCCCTGCCCTTGTCAATATAGTCTACGGAGTACTTCGTAATTTGATAACGACGACAGCAGTTGAAACTGCAACTGCGCGCCTACCGGAAGATACGTACCAGAAGAAACATCGTCTACATGTATTCCTTACATACATACTTGCGCGCAGTATAAATCCGCGCGTCGGAATCGAGGCAACAGGCTGCCGACTGCACCTTTTGCACACACCAAGCTTGATCTTCAGTTGACGCGCAGTATCCGCCATGATGAAGCACCTGTCACGGTTAATGTGAGAGAGAGAGAGAGTGTGCGGGCTTTGCTGCCCGTGGTCGAAAGGGATGGAGCGTGGTGCCGAGTGCGAGCCAGGAGCCGGACCTTTGACCTCGCCGAGCAGGTTGAGTGATTTGGGGGTTTCAAGAGGTTCTCGCGGCGTCGACAGCATGGGAAAGAAACCCGGGGAAGCGGTGCATGCTTGCGTTGGGGGCAAGCTGACCGCCACGGAAATACCCATGTAAACGCCGTATGAGCCTGGTGTTGTCTCCACCCTAACGGTACAGGGTGTTATGAACGGCCTTCATAATTCCGGCGCACTTCATGGTTCCTCGGAGGACGGCACCGGCAGCAAGATGTGTGCTGACAGCCGTATTAGGGGATATATATTTGTATACAGTGTAGGCACCGCCATCATGGTGTTGACGCCTCCGTAGGTCAGGATTTTGAGAACCACCTCCTTACCCCCTCCTTCCGCGGCCCTGCGGGGAGCATCGATCGCCGCAGTAGTCTCGCCAGGGAGAGGAAAAGTGGACACACAGAGATATACATACCTCACATACGTGCTACAGGTATGTAACGAAGGTGTCCCGCACAGGTGACACAAGATACTATTACGTCCACGCCTGGACCGATTTTCAAACTCGTTTACTCCATGACCAAGATGGCGAATAAATGCATCGATACGTTTTCGGGACGCTCTCGACGGGACGGCTTCAACGTTGCCATTTTCCGGCGCATCCACTCTTCTTCTTTCCGTTGCGGAGAACTCGAGCTTTTCGAAAACCGGCCCAGGGGGTGCGACATCTCATGTCACATAGACTACTGGTAGACGGTATGGTGCTGCACCTCAGAGGAAGTCCTTCCTTACACCTGACCCGTCGGTCTGTCTTGTACTGCGACAAAAGGTTGTTCGCGTTGGCCGTATTGAGGACCCCTTCTCTCTGTACCGGACTCCGCGCCTCTTCGCAGAGAGAGTGAGAAAACTGACGGATACTTAAAACTGCGCGTGCAGTACAACCGCACAGAGCAAGAGGCGGAAATCGTGGGGTCACGTAACGGCACACACTCGGATGTGCGCTGGAGTTCTGTTCCCTGACAATGTACTGCCGCGGGGCAAGCGGTGATGAACATATGGTAGCCCCCCCGCACCAAGGGCTGGCCAGGCCCGCAAGGAAGTGCGTTGAGCAGGCTTTTTTGTTGACCCCCTCCCCCAAACAAATGCAAGGATAATGGCCAGCTCCTGGTTCATCCTTGTCAGTTGTGAAATGCAGCCTGGGCCAGCGAACACTCGGCATGTGATGGACCCGCGGGTGGCAAAAATATATGTATGCGCTTGTATAGTTTAGTCTATGGTTAGCACAGTAGAGAAGGTGAACTTTTCGTGGCAACGCATGCGGTGAAACATGAAAAGGTTCTGTCTTGGGGGTGTAACAGGGTGGCAGTCAGTAAGCTCCGCCCCGTCGTCTGTGTCAGAACAAAGGTTCTCGAAAGGCAAGTGCCGGGATAATAGTTTTTTTTCATAGATACATGAATGCTTTTTTTTGCTAGTCTACATGGCATCTAACCCAGAGGCGACAGGTAAAAAAAGAGGGGCGTACTGTGGAAGAAAACGAAGACCGACACATTTTCCACCACATGGTGCGCGCGTACGACGTGCCTTCTCCTTCAACATCAGGACTCCCCCCGCACCACCACCTTCTTGACAAGCATCATGGAACAAACGTGGACAGACGCAAAAGCGACACCGGCACGGAACGACGCGCCGAAAATTAATACCAGTTCACGCCTATTGCAAGGGGAAAGAAGAGCGCACAAGGCCAGACCCTCCTTACTTACCCCGCACAACCACCTTTATTTTTCGTCTCCTATTGCATGCCCGAAAATTTCCAATCGAATCACACCCCAAGACTATTGCATCATCCACACTACGTCGTGGGTTGCAGCAGCACATCTTGGCGGCCCGCCAAAACCAGATCTTGATTTTCCCTCTGATTTTCACCAAGGTCACCAGCAACATACTTATCGAGACAGCAACAGAATGGGGGGGAAATGGAAAAAGAACAGGCGACAAAAACGACAAACAAACGCAAACAAGCTTCTTACAGCATACAACAGACAAGCCGGTGAGCACCAAGAGCTCCCCTTCTTCTCTCACAGGTATCGGAAATTACACGAGGGAGAATGCTACCACCATATACTAAGACCCCGTAATGCTTATATAATACACGTACAACACATGAACGGCCCCCTACTACGAACGAATGTGTCAAGACAAGAGTACGATGTCTCTCACTCCCCTCTGCCTGACCCACAACGCCCCTCTGCCTCCCCCCGAGCTAGTCTACGCCAAAAAAAACACGCGTGCACACACAAGTCGGCAACAGCCACAGCTATTCTCGCTTCACAGCAGGAGGCCCGAAGGGGTTGGTTTGCGTGCGTGTAGCACAAGCAGGACGCCCACCTCCTCGAGGATGCCCCCGCGATAAGGTCGCACAACTTCGTCAGAAAGATCACAATATTCCAACCCACCAACCTACCCCCAAAAAATTCGTCGCTCCCAACGAGAGTGCCCCCACTACTGCCCCCCCCCCCCCCCCCCCCCCCCGACAGGAACCTGTACCTGGTATGGCAGCAGAATGTCG